AGATAACTGATGTTACATCATCAATGACAGGCGAGGAGCCAACGCTACATGCTACATGCTACATGCTACATGCTCGTAGATCTGCGAGGCTGCACTCACGCCATATCATTTAATGCCTGGTTCTCTTCTCACTCCTGACTCGTCACATATTGACGCTTGGTAACAGCCCTTTGGCGTCGCTTTATAACGCCCAGGCTCCGCGGTCAAGTTAGCAACGCTTAGCAACAACAAATATGCAACGTCTGGTAAGACTTAAAAAAAAAAACGCTGCCGTTTTGAAACATCGCAATTTTGAAACGCCACGTGTGACGTCCTGTAAGGTCCTGTGGTGGGTAGTATTTGTGTTCCAGGTGTGTCTCTCTCCAGGTATGCCCCGTGACGTCATTCTCACAGCTGCAGACGCCCCCCCATAACTTTTGTTGTAATTATCAAAGTCCCTTATTTTGCCTACATGTTGTTTTAGTTGTCCCCCTAAACATCTCCAGTGGAGATCGCTGTCCGTTTGCTGCCTGATTATAAGAAGTTTCTGTTAAAACTTGAACCCGTGTCACCTGCTTGACTTTCCACCCTGGGAATTCAAACAGCAGTTTGGTTGGGTTTAGGCACAAGCAGTACTTGGTTAAGGTTAGAGATCATTGTTTGGGTTAAAATAACGTAACTCGCATAACTTAGCTTAAAAATATTTAATGTTGACTTTTTGTTTCACACGTGACATGAACCCCGGTCTCCTGCTTCAAAGCCGGGGTTTGGCCATCCATCCACCCCGACCACCTCCTTACTTTCTGTTAAATATCATACACCTGTCTTTACCGTCACAAACTGGCGCTACAGGGCTTCCCCCCCACTGCGTTGACTATGACGCTATAGAGATCCCCAGTGCGTTACAGACTGACGCCGATGGGTCTTGACCATGCGTCAATCTCACAGATCTCACCTGATCAAATGTGACTGTCGACGTCAGGTTGACCTTGTGTGCGCTGCACAGAAAAACAAAAGAAGAGAATCAAAGTGTGAATGAACTTGAGGCTTAGAAATCAGCAGCTTTATACATCTGGCTGGGGACGCGTCACGGTCAGCTCGCTCTCATTGGCTGCTGCTGGTTTCTGATCGGAGGTTACCTGACTTTGAATTTTAAACGTCACCAGTTCTTTAAACCGAAGTGTTGGACACGTTAACACGTTGACCTGATGGTGGCACTGGAAGAAAAGTCAAAGAATCACCAAGCAGATCATCCTGAGGGGACCGTGAAGGTCGGAACCACATTTCATCCAGTTAAAATCTGAAGTCATCCTTCTGACTCTCTGATTGGATGTTTCCTACAGCAGTGCCGGCAACATGACCTTTAGTGTGTCAGGCGACGGCAACATTAACACATAAAGAGTGAGTGGGATTCAATATAATGAATAGAGCTGTGTGTGTCATTTTATTTTTATTTTATTAGCATATGTTTGTTAATATTTTGGTTTTCATTGGTATTTATAGCACCATCCCAAAGAATGATCAGACTGTCAGGCAGGCGTCCAGGTACGTGCAGACGCTTCAAACATGTTCAACACATCAGCAGAGGTGGAAGAAACACTCTTAGGTGAAAGTAGAAATACTCTGCTACAAGTCAAAGTCAGTCTGCAGTTTGCATTCAAAAGTACAAAAGTTATAGGACAGTTCTCATAAAGCAGAACAGCCCGTTTCAGAATCGTATGTATTACTAGATTATAATTATTGATTGTTGATGTTCATCCCCTTAATGTTACAAAAGGTAGCGCTCATTTTCATCACAAAGTATATCATATCATATATTTTTATAAAGTTAGCTTAAGTTTCCATAGTAACGCTACCTAATTTAGCATAAAACTCAAAATAACTGAGGCTCAGTCCTTTTTACACCGCTTGGCCCTGCCCCTCCCATTTCTGCGTTCAGGTCTAGGAGGGGGGTGTCCCGATTCTTGTTGCAGTACATGGGTAGGGCGGAGATTACACTACAAACAGAGGGCTACGAGAAAGTATTTTCTTCGTATAATCTATGATAACCATGGTTATTCTTAGTTTAATGTTATTTCAACTTAATATGGTGGTTAGCGTTATTATTATTGTCAAAGTGGAACAATTGATTATTGATTTATTCATTATTACTATTGACTTTTCTTTTTTTTTTGCAGATGAACACAATCACGATCTGCAGCCACTCAGGAATATAAATGACTGATTTGTGTTTGAGTCCTTGAGCTATATGATTGGATTCCCATGCTGAGAAGGTGGTTATTCAGTCTTTCACTGAACTCAGCGGGGGGGTCAGCTACAGTTTTCTGCAGGCTGTGACGGAGAACCTCGATGCAGCGCTTGTAGTCTCCTGAGCATCTCTTGGTAAAACTGTTCCATCTGTCTCTGTGACTCGGTGGAAAGTCTCACTATCTGACACCCGTTATTTATTTTTGTTTGTTTTGTTTCACCGCCTGCAGCGAGCGACCCTGTCAGCTGACGTCTGTTTGTGCACTCTGCTGATGGCAAATCAGTGATGTCATTCTGACACAGAATCTTAGATCAAAGAGAAAGAAAGTGATGTCACAACGGGAGGGAACTTTTTCTTTCACCTTAAACTTTATTCAGGCTGTCGCGTAAGATGCCTTCAAACTGCCCCTGTAACGGCCAGTTTAGCTGCATATTACCCATAAACCAGCGCGGCTGTGGCTACGTTTTTAGTAGTTTTCTTGCTCTGATTTTTGAAACACTGTAAGAAAAGATACACTATATCTACTCAGATTACAACAACAGATTACAAGCAATATTATTAATTAAATTTCACAATGTTTGGTATTGAGTAACTATTAACTAAATGAGACTATTAACAGTTATCCATTTAATATAAGTAGATTCAAACAGTACAGAATTAATTACTACCTAATCAAAAATATTGAGTTGATTTGAAAAAGGTAAACTCCCTGATGTGTAAATAGTACTAATAAAAATTTAATTATATATATCAACGATATATAAATGAGTATCAACCGTGGGTGTACAGGGGCAGCCGACCCAGGTCAGCCAGGGTCGGTAGGAGACCCCACATGGCCACAAATACGTTGTCATTTAATTGTATTGTAGACATGACAATATAAGAGAATTGCTTTCCACACATGAGTCTAAGATCAGTGCAGCCGAACTTATCAAACACAACAGGCACTTCACTCCCGGTTTCATTAGTAAACCGTAGACTGTATAGAAAAAAAACACCACAAGAAAGACAATTACCAACAAAAAGCACTATATTCTAAACAGACACGTTTAAAAAAACATAATTGACAAAGTACATTTTGTATTTCAAACAAATAAGAGACTTATTAGCTCATTTTAACAAAACTCCCTTCACCGCCATGCATCATGGGAATTCTTGACAGGAAGTGCTTTTCAATTAAAATTTGCCTGATTACGTTAATTTGAATTCACTCAATATTCTCTCTATTTGGGATTAGATAAATATAAAGCTTATGTTTTATTTAACTACAATGGGTGGATTTTATTCCAAACATTTTTATTTGAAATTTAATTAAATATTTGCCTCAAAATCAAAAATCATATTTAATATATTTTATGTAATACATTAATTCAAATCTATATGACCACAGAATCCTTTTTTACATTACTTTACATCGTACACAACTTTCCTTGCCAGGAGTACGCCCCCATCGTCGGGTCGAGCACTGTTGAGAAACAAAAAAAAGAAAACCCCTTCGTGCTGATGTGTGTGAGATGAGATACATAAACTATCTTGGTTTACTCTGGAAGCTAAATTAAAAATGGGTTATCTTTTGTGAGAAATTGACATATACTGGCTCATGTCGTGGGTATATAACACATCAGGTATGTTCCAATCTGGTACCAAGGCCACGAACAAACTGCATGATGAGAAATGTTTTGTTTAGAGCTTCTTCTGCTTGGAATGTGCTGCCTGTCTATATCCGACAGATTAAAAGCAAATTCTCTTTTAAAAAGTCACTTACAAAATGGCTGATGAATCTTACATAGATGTGAGATTTATTTTCCACCATAATTTAAATCAAAAAGTGAAACTTAATCACATATTCTAGATTCATTACACATAAACTTAAATATTTTAGGCCTTTTTTTGCTTTAAATCTTGATGATTACAGCTTATAGCTCATGAAAATCAAAAATCCATATCTTAAAATATTAGAATATTAGAATTAAGAATGTATAATTCAGAAATATCAACCTGAGAAGAGCCTTTAATCTCTCAGTCTAGTTCAGTACACACAACCACAATCATGGATAAGACATCTGACTTAACAGTTGTCCAGTAGACAACTAATAATTTAATCAAGATTAAAACAAGAAAAGGTCTGAAATATTTCACTTTATGTGTAATGAATCTAGAATTATTTAAATTACAGGGGAGGGGAAACATTTCTACTATAGCCTAATGGTCTGAGATGCACCTGTGAATATATATAATTAGGTGTGTATGTTATTTTTTTAGTTTCTGAGTTTTATATTTAGTCGACTGCCTATTTTGTTTTATTTATATTATATGATTTTAAATAATACTTTATTTGAATGGTTGTTATTTTGGACTAGCAACCACTTTGTGGAAGCTAATGGGGATTTAATTTAAGAATAAAGAATAAAGTGTTGGATTAGTACTTGTACTGACGTAAAGGATATGATAGTTGTTTGAGTCCAGCTTGTTCTGTTTTTCAGGGGTCAAAAAAATCCACCTATCAGTCTGTAAGAAGCAGAACCCCCAGTTATTTGATTTCCATTTTCATTAATTAATTTATGTCTATCTTTATTTATTTGTCCATTGACTGAAAACTAAAAAAACTCAGTGACGCTGAGGAGTAGATCCAGTCCAACAGATGGCAGCACTGCATCAGATGTCAGCTGCTGTGAACCTCAGTGCAGAAGAAGAAGAGTCTCCTGCATACAGCTGTTTCTGTCCACCTCTGTTTCTGGTTTCTGTTTGATTTTTAAAAAAATATTTAGTGAAGATGTCAGAAGACCTGCGGGCAGAGCTGGAGAAATGTCTGGAGACGTTAAACATCCAGACGACCTGCGTGGAGCACCCGCCGGTAAAACCGATTATCTGTCTATAATCAGTCAATGAATCAGTCCAAACTTTTCATCGGAAACATTTTGATCGCTTTAAAGCAAAATAACATGTATGAATGAAGTTGTTGTAGCTGGCAGAGGAATACAATGCTGGAATATTAGACACTAACTGTATCGAGAACACAACACCGTTGAATCCCATAAGGAAACCACACAATTTTAAGTTTCTTTACTTATTGTAAACTGTTGATAAACACCAATTTTTAGAGACACTAAGTTACATGAATCGCTATAATTCACACTTCTATTCGGCTTTATCTAATAATAAGCCAGAGTGGCACTTATTGTAGTAAAGTTTTAACTTTGGGAATAGAGATTGAGAGACGTGAACGCATTAAATAGTTATAAATTGAAGTACAGGAGAGTTACATTGCCCATTACTTGTGTGCCGAATTTACCATCAGATCAATCGAAACTGAAATCATTTGAGGATTTGTTCGCTCCTGTCATGTAGTTGTGTGGAGGATTTAGGTAACCTAAAAAACGACAGGTTTTTGAACGGAGTCTGGGATGCTGCGACACTCCCTAAACTTTAAACGTCGCCTACCAGCTGTATACTTTATTCTGAAGTACAAACGTTAATTATTCCTAAACCTCCTTACCTTTCCAAAGTTTTTAAAATGCACAATTTATATATTTGTTAAACTGATTGGTTACATACTTACATAACGTAGAAACCTTTCCACTAATGGAGCGTGTTTGTGCAATCCTGAATTTCAGGTCCTTAAAAACAGAAATATATAATCAGATCCACATCTACAGATGGTTTAAATATCCTGTTTGACAAGTTTCTGCAGTATGAACCCGCAGTGACCGGCAGCCACCTGCAGGGGGCGTCAACAGATAATGAATACCTGTCCTGCAGCTTCACGCTCATTGGTGGATATAAATGTTCACTAACAGTTAAAAGTGTTAGAGCCTACACCCCCACCGTTACTAGTGTGTATGTAAATATAAGCAGTTCAAGTCCAGTTAAAAACCCTTTAATGGTACAAAAGTGTGTATATATATATATATAGTATAGAGTATAGAGTCCAAATAAAGCTTCTGGAGGGTGAATTAACAGGCTGTTTCAAGGTGTTTACTGTAGAAAAGTGTTTCATTTCCTTCCACTGCTGCAGAATAACTTCAGGTCGTTAACTTGATCCCTGAAAATTGCACATCTCTGAAATTTAATTATATATTTTGCTGACCTAAATTTAGTCTTTACCTGCTGTGGTTTTTCTGCAGCAGTTAAAAATCTTACAAAACTTTGCACAAAATTCAAATGTAGTGTGGTAAAAATGTTAGATATGTCATGAACAGACTTGCAGAAAAGCCTCTTGGAGCCGTTCCCTAAACCCAACATGGCCATTTTGAAATTTTTAAAAAATTTTTGGTGATTTACAGGTTCTGTATTTTAAAGAATTCCTCCTGGAGAATTGATCCGACCGACTTAAAATTTTCGCTGTAAAATCTAAAGGCATTGACGATGAGAAGTTGTGCTATCGGTGAGTTTTCGTTAAAGGGTGTGTCCGTGGGGTGGCGTCAAAAATCGCTGATTTGTAACAGGAAGTCGTTGTAACTTAAGTGTACATACTCTGTAACGAACTTTACATTTTTGATGACAGTCCCTCCCTCCACACATCTACATGCCAATTATCACTCAATATCTGAGCGCCAGTGTGTAGTCCTGATATGCCGGGACTTAACGCATAAGTAGCGGGTGTTCTCTAGCGCCACATAGGGGACACAGGAAGAGATGTACGTGAGGCATCCAGAGCACATTAAAAATTCAGAGCTGTGTCGACATTTTGCGACTCCCAACAACCCCCGACACGTGTCACAGTGCAAGGGCCCGTGCACTGCTGCTTACAGCTTTAATTATATATCTATGTAAGTTTGGATGCAGTTAAGGATTTCTAGTCTATAATTAACGTTTGCCTGAAAGGAAAAGGGACTTAAGTCCTGCTACAGTCACAGGTTGAGATTGATCGTTTGTTTAGATCAGTTCTTGTTGCTGTTTAGGATTTCATGTTTTAATATTTAACTTTACTCCTCATAAAGAACACGCTGTGTGCATTTCCTCCTCTGCCCAGCCAACTAAATAAAAATGTTAGTCGTTTAACTGCATATTCAGGTTTAACATGTTCATCTATCATTTCGTGACAGCTCTAGAGAGTTTACCTTGTTGCACATCAGGTGTGTCAGAAGTTCCTGCTGCTGTTTCCTGTATCTGCTGTTGCTATTTCTGAAAATGAGGTTTATATTTGTGTAGCTTCTAACTGTGACCGGGCAGCTGCAGAACTTCAGCAACAGAGACAAAAGGTCACACTCACAGTTGTGATAAAATCAGTTCCTCACCTCCCCCCCCTGCAGGTGTTCACGGTGGAGGAGATGATGCCTCACCTGCAGGAAGTGAGCGGAGCCGTCACTAAGAACCTCTTCCTGAAGGACAAGAAGAAGAAAGGCCTGTGGCTGGTGTCTGCTCGCCACGACCGCCAGGTCAGCTCACATCGTCCCAGGAGTATCTCATCCATCTGACAGCGCTCTGAACAGTCCTGCATCTTGAATGCATCGCCTCCATCCTCATCCCACAATCCTCTCTGCTCCTCTACAGGTGAACCTCAACGACCTCGCCAAGAAGCTCGGCGTCGGCAGCGGCAACCTGCGCTTCGCAGATGAGGCGGCCATGTTGGAGAAACTCAAGGTGGGAAAACACAACAACCAAAAACAGACGAGCTCTGAGCCTTAATGACGTCACCTCGTTGTGTCCTTTTCTTCTTCTGCGGTGGTTTAAAGGCAGCAACTGTAGAACCAGCTCCACCAGCTGTTATCAGCCAATGAGCTCGAGTTCTCACAGCAGCAGGTCAGGCTTTATTTTCATGACTCAATGAAAATCTGACTAACATCACCCTGCCTCCCATCACTTTGCTTTACTTCCTTTCAAACTACTCTTCATTCCTGTTTCTTCGATATATTAGTAGTAATACTACAAAGTAGAAAAACTCAAGTAAAGTCAAGTCAGTTTTATTTATAAAGCCCAATATCACAATCTGCCTCAGGACGTTTTACGGTCTGTACAGCACACGACACGTTCTGCTTAGAGTTTAAATGTTAGAAAGCTGAGGAAGGGTCCCTCTCAGTCGCGTGTACAGACGTGGATCAGTCATAGATCAGTTAAGACGACAGTGTAAGGGCGTGTTCACAGCTAAAGGTCCGGTTCCTGAATTGAACCAATGGAAGGATGATGCATTGTTTAAATTTTCCAGCTCCGGTTTGCGTTCACAAAAACTCAAATGGTCCATAAAGTGTAAACGAAAGACGTGTGATGGAAATGCCATTCGATTGTTGGCCACGCAGTTTCTACTACTACAAAGTTCTGCCTGGATATCATCATGGAGCGCCGTCACGGTCCGAAGCGCACACCAGCAGACTTTAGCGGGTCACGCGTACGAACGTGTCGTCTCGGGTATTAAAACATTTAATAAAGCAGGAATTTTGAAGGAGAAACTCTGCAGATCTTCTACTTTGCATTTGTTGCAAACATGCCAAAAACAAAGTTAGACCATTGAAAAGGCCAGCAGCTTATGTTTACATGTATCTCCTTAAATTAACATCGTACATAAATAAAAAAGGTCAATAAGCTGCCGAGAATAAATATGACATTATAATAATTTGCCAATTATTAATATATATTAAGTATTTGTTGTTGTTATTTTTCATAGTATCACTTTCATATTTTTATTGTAATTTTTCAATTATCTATATTAATAATGAAAATCAAGATCTGGTGAGTGTTTGCCTTCTGCTCCACGGGAGGTTCCTGTCCTCCCTGAGCTCACCTCAGTTCACCTGTGTTACCGTCTGACAGGTGTACCGCCCATCTAACTCCCCACCTTCTGTTATTAACTGTTGCAGTACTTTTTTTATTTTATTTATTTAAAAGGGACAGTGCATATTAATAATAATTAATGGACATCTTAGCGTCTGTAGTCCCTCGGCAAGTACAAGGTAACACAGCTAAACAATTAAACACAATTTAAGAGACACCACAATTTTCAACGTAATATAATCAAAGACACCACAGTTCTGTAGACAGGGTTATGTAAATTAAAGTGCCGTTCTATGAAATGAAGTACAATTTAATTATGTAAGTGCTACTCAGTGCAGTAAAGTAAACAATACAACAGTAAACAAACCCATACACGTACAGTTGTGCTCATAAGTTTGCATACCCTGGCAGAATTTTTTTAATTTTGAAAATATGACTCATCATGCAAAATAACTGTCTTTGATTCAAGGACAGTGATTGAATGAAGAAATTTCTTTTTACACAGTTGTTTTGCTGCTTTTTAAGCAATAATGATACCAGAAATAACCCAAATGGCCTTATCAAAAGTTTACATACCCTTGAATGTCTGGCCTTGTTACGGACATACAAAGTGACACACACAGGTGAAAATGGCAATTAAAGGTTATTTCCCGCACCTGTGGCTCTGTAAATTGCAATTACTGTCTGTGTATAAATAGTCCATGAGTTTATGGATGCACTGAGCAGGCTAGATACTGAGCTATGGGGAGCAGAAAAGAACTGTCAAAAGACCTGCGTAACAAGGTATTGGAACTTTGTAAAGATGGAAAAGGATATAAAAAAGATATACAAAGCTTTGCAAATGCCAGTCAGTACTGTTCAATCACTTATTAAGAAGTGGAAATTTCTTGGATCTCTCGATGCCAAGCCAAGGTCAGGTAGACCGAGAAATTTCAGCCACAGCTGGAAGAAGAATTGTTCGGGATACAAAGAAGAAAATGAGCTGCATGGTCGAGTTGTGCCAATACCACAAAATAGCCCGGTTACAATATGCCCGAAAACACCTTGACACGCCTCACAGCTTCTGGCACACTGTTATGTGGAGTGACGAGACCAAAATAGAGCTTTATGGTCACAACGATCAGCGTTATGTTTGGAGAGGGGGTCAACAAGGCCTATAGTGAACAGAATACCATCCCCACTGTGAAGCATGGTGGTGGCTCACTGATGTTTTGAGAGTGTGTGAGCTCTAAAGGCACAGGAAGTCTTGGGAAAATTGAGGGCAAGATGAATTCAGCATGTTATCAGAAAATACTGGCAGACAATTTGCATTATTCTGCACAGAAGCTGCGCATGGGGCGCTCTTGGACTTTCCAGCATGATAATGACCCTAAGCACAAGGCCAAGTTGACCCTCCAGTGGTTACAGCAGAAGAAGGTGAAGGTTCTGGAGTGGCCATCACAGTCTTTGAAGATTTTTAAGGCTTGTTTGAAAAGTGACTATTGGTTTGAGTGTTGTGGCATTTATAAGTGACCAGTTTGTAAAACAGTATTCAATATGAGAAAAGATCATTGAATGAAGAAACTTTCTGGCTGCATTGCCTGAGAGTGATGGTCTGATATGTCTAAAGTTGATTTTAAAGGACTGTGTGGGATCTTGTAAAACGCCAAGGTACGTGAATTCGTTTACAATCTCTAGTTCTTCTTTCAGGAATACATTTGAGTGTGTCCTTTCAGTCGGCCGTTTAGAAAAACATCATACAAACAGTTTTTTCAAGTAGTAGAGTTCAATAGTAGACATGATTTTGTGAGATTGTGAGGCTTCTTGATCAGTTTTGGCACGTGTAAAGATTACTGTGTCGTCTGCATACAATAAGATATTTATGTTTTGGCATACTATAGGCAGACCATTGAAACATAAAGAGAACAGAATTGGTCCTAGTATGGAGCCTTGGGGGACTCCTACTGGACATTTGAGGTGAGGAGGTTTAATATTGTCGACAAAAGACAATAATAAATTTCCATTTATTTCCTTAATGTGTTTATTGAATGTACCAAACGCCAAGGCAAGCTGGCAAACAGAGGAGACCCACCTGGTGGTGGAAAATATCCTTATAAACATGAAAATATAATAAATAATTATAATACATATAATAGCCCAGTTATGTTAATTATTTAAAATTACATAATACAATAGTAGCTTCCTGCGATTGGTTTGAATGGTGTTCACACCAGAAATTAACCGCTCCAGAGTTCACATGATCCGAGACCACCTCTTCAAGGCGGACCAGAGTTCGAGTCCAGCGATCATACCAACCCAAACGAAACCCAAAACCAAGGGGTTAAACGCTCCAGGGTTCAGTTCACCTGGACTAATCAAGGCTGGTGTGAACGCACCCTAAGACATAAGAGAAGAGGAGGACAGGTGAGCAGCTGACTTTATATGCTGCTGGGTAGTTTGGGGGTTTCCCCCCGGGGATCAATAAAGTTTATCTAACTTTTCTTTGTATTCACATATTTTCCTCCGCCCGTGTCCTCTCAGGTGGGTCAGGGCTGCGCGACGGCGCTCGCTCTGCTCTTCGATAAGGACCAGAGTGTGAAGTTCGTCCTGGACCGGGACCTGGTGGAGGGAGGCCACGACATGGTCTACTTCCATCCCATGACCAACGCCGCCACCACAGGGCTCCGACCAGACGACCTGCTGCGGTTCCTCAAAGCGACGGGACACGAACCCGTCCTGGAGAGCTTCGAGTAGGACTGGACGGAACCTGGACCTCAACCAGGGACGCCAACGCTGGACCCGAACAGCATGCGGGGATTAATGTGGGACAAAAAGGAACATGCAGAACGAACTTATTCTGCTTCAAAGATTTAATAAATGATCAAATGAAACGCACGGCCTTCATAAGAACATGAAGAGAAGAGACGCTGAGCTGAAACGATTTATCGATTCGTTTTCAACTGTTAAATTAATCGCCAGCTTTTTGGGTAATTGATAAATTAGTTATTTCCTGGTTTCTTTGCTCCTCTGTGACAGTAAACTGAACATATTTGGGTTTTGGGAAACACTCATTGACCTTTTTCTCCATTTTATAGATCAAACAACTAATTGATTAATCAAGAAATTCATGAACAATAAAAAACAATGGTTATTTGCAGCCCTCAGCATGCTGAACAGTTCTGATTCAAATCAGAAAGGGAACATTTTACTGGTCTGAAAACAATCATTTTTACTTTGGTAGAATTGTCAGAATTTGAAATGCTTAAGATATATTTAGAGAGGATTATTTATTTTAGTTTGTCGACCGGAAATCTGTTTGTTTCTCTCTGTTACTTTGTGGAGATCATGTCTGTTTTATTAAAGACTGTTGCTTTTACATCTTTGAGCTCCGTGAATAAATGTCTTGTCCCTGATCATTTTCATCCATCGGCTTTTTGATTGATTTCCTCCTCCTCTCCACGCACAGAGTTTTTATGGAAATCTACTTACAAGACTAGAAACTTGTCACAGTAAATGATTAATCAACCTTTCGACAAAATAATAAAGCAATATTATGTAGGATAATGTGTTTTTGTGTGATTTGGAGCCCCAGTCAGTAACTCTAATAACTTCTTGATTCACTAAATAACCGGGTATACTGTGACAAAATAAATCTACCTGCCTACACAGTTTCTTCCTGGCTTTCCGTTCTCTCCCTGTGAACGTGACAAAAGAGGAGGGAAGACTAAATCATGACTCAGCGGGGATGATATTACAGGAGAAAAGTTGATCTACAGGAGAAACAGATCTGTGAGCTGCACTGACTTACATCGTGTTAGAGGTTTATAGTTTTGACACCTGAATTCTGTTTCCCTTTACATTACTAAAAAAACATGCACACCATAAATTGGTTGCTCCAGCATTGAAAATTTCTCCAAAATCCCACAACTTTTCAACGTACTTGTACTTGAGTTAAATTACTTACCGCCACAGCTCTCAAGTCCGGTCCAACTCCAACCACTGTGACCTCGGTGCTAAACGCTTGTCCTGGGGGTGGCGCTAGAGGGCTAATCATCTCGGCCCCAAAGGTGTCCAGATAATTGTGGTTTTATTTTGAAAGGACCGCCGGAAGTGCTTGCTTGCCCCTCGGCGTCGGGTCCAGCAGAGTGTGCGGGTGAGCAGCTGATTACTGACGGTGACGCAGCGTTAAGCACAGCTGCGGGCTTACTGCGCGCGTGTGCGTGTGTTTTGCTTCCCGTATGCAAGATGATGGTGCACGTGCACGTCGCATCCATCCATCTTTCCTGCTGCTGTGAAACTGAAGCTGCTGTTTCAGATGCAGTCATGCAGAGTTTTCTCCTGTGTTGTCAGTGTTTCCTGTCAGGACGCTGCTGTTTTGTTGTTTCTGTTTCTGACTAAATGACTTCAGTGCTGCTAATGCTTACCGTCTTAAAAAATGTGTACATATGTATTTACTGTACATATGTATATGTATTTATGTATTTACTGTACATATGTTTTTATGTATTTACTGTACATATGTATATGTATTTATGTATTTACTATATGTATTTACTGTACATATGTATATGTATTTATGTTTTTACTGTACATATGTATATGTATTTATGTATTTACTGTACATATGTTTTTATGTATTTACTGTACATATGTATATGTATTTATGTATTTACTATACATATACATATGTATTTACTGTACATATGTATTTATGTATTTACTGTACATATGTATATGTATTTATGTATTTACTGTACATATGTATTTATGTATTTACTATACATATACATATGTATTTACTGTAAATATGTATTTACTGTACATATGTATATGTATATATGTATTTACTGTACATATGTATATGTATTTACTGTACATATGTATATGTATTTATGTATGTACTGTACATATGTATTTATGTTTTACTATACATATACATATGTATTTACTGTAAATATGTATTTACTGTACATATGTATATGTATATATGTATTTACTGTACATATGTATATGTATTTTCTGTACATATGTATTTACTGTACATATATTTGTATTTACTGTAAATATACGTATTTACTGTACATATGTATGGCACATTTCAACAACAAGGTAATTCAAAGTGCTTTACATAAAACATAAAAGCAACAGGGAAATATAAAAAACACATGTATTTATTGTACATATGTTTACTATAGTATGGAAAGGATTAAGCTATGGTCAAATAAAACTACACTTTTATATATTTATTGTTTATATTTTTTGATAAACATTTTTATATTGCAGACTTTTTAAATTGGGTATTTTTTATAATATTAATTTGTTTGATTATGTTCATGTTACGGATTCTAAATAAAACTATTATGTAGGCCTACACACATACAAGTTAAAAAGTATTTGTGTGTTCAATCAACACACACACACACACACACATATATCTACATGTATATATTTTATTTCTTATACTTTTAACATGTTTGTCATAAGTCCAGTGCAATACTGAGTCACTGGAGTACTATTTGAGGTTTGTTTTTTTTTAAAAGTTATTGAATTTAAAAAATGTGAAATGTTGTCTTGAAAATAACTCACAAGCATCCAAGCGCTCTCTCTGTCTCTCTCTCTGTGAAGCTCTCTCTGTCTCTCTCTGCATTTCTAATGAGTGTCTATTGTTGTGTAAAATTAGCAAATGAATAAACCCAGTTCCCAGGCATTCTTTCACACGCTGTGTGTGTGTGTTGTACAAAGACATTTTGTTGGGAACATGCATGAAACAGAGCATTAGCTGACACTGAGCAAGGCGCTGACCTTACTTTTAAACATTATATTTAATGCCGTCGTACGAGAGTGGCAAATTCATATCTGTTCCCCAGAGTTGAGTTAAATAAAACAATGAGAGATCAAACGTCCTGCGAACAGACAGTCGCATGATGATCGATCCCCACAGCAGCCTGCAGAGCCAAGTCCCATATCAGGCTCTGTCGTCTGCGAAGTCCTGCTTTCAAGACTGAAACTCACCTGCATATGCTATCCAGCAGCCAGCAGGGGGCGACTCCACTGGCTGCAGAAAGAAGTGTGGTTGTATAGAAGTCTATGAGAAAATGTTTCTACTTGTCATCTGATTTATTACCTCAGTAAACACTTTCCTGATGAGTTTATGGTCTCAGTTATTAGTTTCAAGTCTCAGACCTCTGACCTTTCTATGGTGATACAGGGGGGAGAGAGAGAGAGAGAGAGCAGCTTCTTCTGTGTTTACTGTCCTCTCTCTCTCTCTCTCTCTCTCTCTCCAGTCTCTCGCCCCTTGCTGTCTGGTTGCTATGGGAGACAGCCAGAAATAAACTCATTAGAGGTGAGTGTGTGCGCGATCATCTGTAATTTGTTTTTCTGCTGTTTTTAGTGTCACAGTCTGCTGAGTGGACACAGTACCATATAGCAATAACACAGTACTACACAGTACTACACAGAAGTACTACACATAGCAGTATAGCTAGTACTATAACAGCTGTTGCAGAACTGTGTAGTACTGTTGCAGTTTGTGTAGTTTTAAGGAAAAGATTTGTCGTGATCAGCTCCTCAGAGGATGAACCCTTTAGATTTCATGATTGCTCCTGTAGCGCCACCCTCAGGAAACACTTTAGATTTTTAGCTTCACTGCTGGTGAGAAATATTTTAAAGCTGCAAGGTGCATTGGACGGGCCCTCGCGGCGTGATGCATGTGGTGCAGTTGGTGCTGGAGGTCGTCAACCCGCTTCTGAATTACCATGCCTTTTGGACCCCTCGCAAAGGAGTTAAACGTCACTTCTTGTTTCCCCTAGGTGGCGCTAGAGAACACCCACTAATTACATGTTGTGTACCAGAACATGGAGCATACTGTAAAAATTTCACACAGAGCTTACTTCCTGTTGCCATTAGGTGGTGCTATGTCTATGAGTAAATATTGGTAAAAGGATGTCTTGAGGGTGGGACACTTATCAAACAGATGGAACAGATTTCACAGCAAAAAATAGATTTTTGACGCCACGCCACGGACACACCCTTTGACAATAGACAATTTAGATAGCACGGCTAAAATTTTATGTTGATCTGATTAATTCTCTGGGAGGAGTCTGTGAAATTATGGAACGTGTAAATTGGCAAAAATGATAATTAAATTCAAAATGGCCGACTTTCTGTGGGGTTTAGGGCATCGCTGAGCCCTGAAAGAAGAGCCACAAAGATTTCTTGCATCTAGGTGAAACGTGGCGCAAGGGCTGCTTCGTTTAAGGGTCAATTCCTGTTGCCAGCAGGTGGCACTACAACTTTGAGTAAATATTGATATGTGGTTGTCTTTGGTGCGGGAATGTTCTCAAACGTGTGAAGTGTGGTACAGATGTGAGCATGTTCACTGAGTTCATAACAACTTCCTGTTTCACGGCGAATCATGGATTTTTGATGCCACGCCACAGATACGCCATTTGATGAAAACTCACAGATAGCGCAACTTTTCATCTTCATTGCCTTTAGACTGCACAACGAAAATTTGAAGTCAATTGGATTAATTATCTAAGAGGAGTTTGTTAAAGTATGGAGCCTGTAAATTGCAATAAAATGACTAATAAATCCAAAATGGCTGACTTCCTGTTGGGTTTAGGGCATTTCTCCCAGAGGCTTTTTTGTAGGTCTGGACATGATATATGTGCCACAGAAATTTCGTACATGTATGTGAAACGTGTCCCGGGGGCTTTAGGGGGCGCTAGCGACCCATTTTGCTACACCCATGCATGAAAACACTATGACGTGCAAATTTGCTTTTTTGTAAGTTTTCGAGCATGTTAAGACTGACAAAAATGCTCTTTATTGGCAGAAGAAAGAAAGAAAGAAAGAAAGAAAAAGAAATCCTTCAGTTTCAAAAAGATCCTCGCTTGTTTCATGTTTCAATAATACGAATCCTGCAGTCTGAAGGAGATTCAGATATTTAGTTTCAGCCTGACTGCAGTTGTGTTTGTTCCTCTTCCTGCCGGCGATCCGTCTCCAGTATACAATTAACAAGAATATAATCCTCGTCTGTTTTCTACATCTGCATAATTCAGTAATTGGTTGGTTCATCCTGCGTGTGTGTGTGTGTTTACAGCCCGGCAGGGTTTGTAGAATAATATCGTGGTTCACATTCAGCTGCGGGAGAAACACTCAGCCTCATTAGATCCAGATAACTCTGCAAAAGAAAGGAAAGTTTTATCGTCATGTGACGCTCTGCAGGGAGACGGCCAGTCCAGAGGTCGGAGGTGCTGCAGATTTTAACCTGTTACTGTGAGTTTCAACAGTCTGGTCGCTTACTGTCACCACACATGGACATAAAGGAGAGTCAGCAGCTGACAGTTGCATGAGACTTTGTAGATTCACAACGATACACTAAGACAGAAATATGTAGACACATCTTTTCATCAGATTTATAAAGCAGATTCACTTTAAAAAAAGTAAAGTAGCAGTGGTACAGAAAATTAATGATGGTACTGATACTTGTACTCTTGTATTTTCCAAACACCCGTCTCCTGAGTGAAAGTCCGGTTTCTGACTCATCCATCCTTGCACTCCAACCACCTCCTTACTCTGACTTTTCTGTTACTTAAAGTACTTTTAGCGTTGAACAGTGATGCTAAAGGGCGTCCCCCAGTGCGTTGACCTACCATGTGAATGGCGCCATGCGTGTTGGTAACAGACACCGAAAGACGTGACACAGCGAAGCGATTTCATGTTCTGGGAAGGAGAAAGGGCTGGATATTCAGTTCCACAAATAAATTACAAAAGAACAATTAATTTCATACAGTTCATTAAATAAAGTAAATAAAACAGTAAATGTGTGTTTGTGTGTGTGTGTGTGTTAAAAAATTAAATATTAAAAATGTAAATAAATAAATAAAACACTAAATGTGTGTGTTAAAAAAATTAAAATTAAACATTAAAAATGTAAATAAATAAATAAAACACTAAATGTGTGTGTGTTAAAAAATAAAATTAAATATTAAAAATGTAAATAAATAAATAAAACAGTAAACGTGTGTTTGTGTGAGTCTGTGTTAAAAAATAAAAATTAAATATTAAAAATGTAAATAAATAAATAAAACAGTAAATGTGAATTACTGTTCGAGGATCATCCCAATATGTGATCAGTGATTAATTAAAAGAGCTCATGTTGAAACAGACTTCACAAAGTGCTTCACAGCTGACAATAAAAGAAAAAGATCATTTAAGGGGAAATAACTGCACAAAGAAAAAGAAAAAGAACGCTAATTAATTCATTTAACTTAAAGCGGCTCTAATCAATGTTCTATAATAGCAGAGAGGCTGAATCTGAGCGGGGAGCTTTGTACAGATCCTGCAGCACGTCTGCACACGCTCAGTGAAGCGGTGGCGGCCTCCTGCCGTGAGGCGTCTGCTGGGTTTTAATGGGACTCTTTCATGTCGGCTGGTTTCTAAATTGGTTCTGTGTTGCTGTTTTGGAGCAGAAGCTGGAGACTTTGTTCTGTAAAAGAAAAAGACACTCGTCTGATTACAAACTGTAGTTCAGCGGCGAACTCGGCAAAACCTTTCTGAATCTATCATTATTCACAAATACTGTCTCGATCAGCTGATTCATGATTTGGTCAGAATAGTGAAGATGTCTGCAAAACAAAACATTTGAAGACTTTACCTGAAAACCAAATGTTTGGCTTTATTATGGCTTTAATGATTATTAATTATCACTGTAGTTTTTACAGGACTGGAGGAACTTAAATGGGAACTTGGTTCTTTGGAATGAACCTTACGAGTACAAGCCTCTTCAACATGTTCCACCAAAATGTTTTATAGTAATAACAATAAACTTTATTTCTAAAGTGCTTCACAAAAGCCTGAGAGAGAGATGACATCACATCCCACAGCAAGTGATAAAATACATGAGAGCTAAATAAAATAAATAAAAATAGAAATTACATTAACTACGCAGGGTATAAGAGAAGATGAAACAAGAATAAAATCAGTAAAATAAACAGGCAGCTCGGATAAAATCAGGAAATGCTTTCTGGTAAAAGTGCGTTTTTAAAAGAGACTTAAAAGAAGACAAAAACTCTGAGAGCCTAATTTCCTCAGCCTGGACCTGGGAGCTCAAACTACGTAAAGGTTCATAAGGAGTTAAAGGATCTAAAATCTGGTGCCAGGCCATGGAGAGCCATAAAAGTAATCAATTTTAAAGCAGACATGGAGCCAGTGTAAAGAGATTAATACAGGTGTGACCTGACCGGACCTCTGGTTAAAAAGAGCACTGCTTACACACACATCACAAATACTCTCACATTTCACAAACGCTGGTTGCTCATATATCACAGAACCATTTGCGAGTTCTCCTGCATGTTCAGGGGCTCTTTGACTCCCAGTCAAGTTTCTTTTTGTCCCAATCCTGATCCATTTAATATTGAGCATCTGTCAGAGCCGAGTCTGATCCGAAACTTATTAATCTAAATGATCCAGCTGCCCAGCTCACACCTGTGTTTGTGTAACCCGGTATTGCTCACCGTGCAGCCACAGTCACAGTCTCTTTGTACTCCCCTGTTACTTTCAGTAACAGTTCCACATCATTGTCCGTCCATGCAAAGAAATCTCTGCTGTGGTTCTTCTCCATCGCTGTTCCTCGTTCGTCTCTAGTAGAACTTCTGCACCTGTATCATCAAAAGGCGTTTAAATAACACGCCAAGTCATTTGGTGTGGTATTCCAAAGCATTTTAGACTGCCTTGACTTCTATTGTGCAGAAACGGTGTGCTATTCATACGCCTACTGTCAAAGGTAAAATCAGCGTGTGTGGGATATAAATAAGTCCAAAAATTCACAAAACATTCATTTTTGTTATTTATTTATGTGACTATCTATCATACGGCCTTTTCCAGTCCTATATTGTAGTCCTGTGACTCCTCTATGGCAGCTTTGCATGATTCAAAGTTAAATAAATATATATATATTTTTATATTCATGTAGGCCTTCATTTCAGCCTCTGTCTGAACAAGCTGTAGATGCTCCTGTCTCTTTAAGGCCCCCCCTCTCAAAGCCCACTGTCTCATTTTTTGAAGCTTTGGCCACGTTTAACATGAACATCCAACATTATAACACTGTAGATAAAACATCAAATGTGGAACAGCATAATATGTCTCCTTTAAGTTACGTAGTTTACCATGCTACATCGTTGCTAATGTTAGCTACATAGCATTAGCTATGTTACGTTAGCTACGTTAAAGTTTAAGAAACTAGCTAGCTAACGAATCTAGCAACGACGCTAGTATTTTACTTTACTGCTAACCTTAACCATAAATAATTATATATGCATGTCTACCGGGTTAGCTGCGCAGATAGGGTTAACCTCCTTTGTGTTGCTTAGGTCTATGGGGACTATGCTATTTATACGCCATTTGATATCAAGTTGGCAGAGTAGACAATCTGCTTCCTGTTCACCCTGCACGCTCATGCCCAATGTACGTTAACGGTAACTTCGTTTTTAGTCGTTTTAATATAGACAGAGATCAATTCTGCTCGCAGCTAAAACGCTGGAGTGGATTGAGAGTTTTAAAACAAAAACAGAGTAGTGTGGATGTACCTTAAATGCTGGCCTTCCCGCCTCACCTCAGTGTTTCTGGTTGCTAAAGGTTGCAAGTAAACTACCTTTCATTGTTTCCTTTTTCCCCTTTGGCAAGTTTTGTCCCAACTCCCTTAAAAAGATAGTGAACTCCCCTGAAAGCCACGGTATAGTTCGCACACTGCATGTATCATTTTATCTGGACTTTACATTAAAGTCCAGCTGCTGCAGATAAAAGTTCAAACCTGTTTGACATCAGTGAAACCTGAGTTGTGTCTTCAGGAAGCAAATGGACGGAAATGTGTGTGTGTGTGTGTGTGTGTTTAAAGTGAATTGTTCCTGTTACAGAAACAAAACAGAAGATAAAACCCATCAAAATAAAAGAACAAGAAATATAAACCTTACACTGCCTGTTTCTGTTGTTCTGATTTCTTCTTCTGTCCCTTTGCTGGCGTTTCACTTTGACCAACAGTGTTTCGCCATTACAGTTGAACACACTGATCTGAATCTGAGAGCTCAGTGCTATAAATGCCACTTCCCCTTTAAGAGATCCAGGAAGTGCATGGGGGTGTGTGTGGGTGGGGGCGTGGCTTTCTGGTTCAGGGGTGGTGCTTTTTGAGGAAACAGGTGTGTGTGCTGACAGGGATGATGTCATTCTCTGGCTGAGTCACCTGGGAGACGGCTGCTGAGCGTAGTGTGGACAGAGAAAGAGAGATAAAGGAGGAGGAGGAGGAAACGAGCTGCCATCATCACTCCTGTTTTTCTTCCCCGAGGAGGCGTCGGTGTGAGGAAGGAGACCCAGCCGGAGGGCAGGAGGAGGAAGAGGAGGAGGAGGAGATCATTTGAATGCTGCTGTTGGTCAAGGTGAGAGAGAGAGAGGGGAATGAATGAGAGAGAGAGGGAGAGTGTAGTTGCAGAGTAGTTCTTCTCACCAAACTCCATTCAAAAATCTGTGTATTTAAGCTCATCTCTTAACTGTAGAACTTGATTTAAGATCTCAACTCTTTAAAAGACCACGTTGGTGTGTTTGCATGCTTCAGCTCAATAACTGGCAACTGCAAGTGCAATTTTCATCCTTGCTGTTCATCCTTTCCCAAATGATCTAATCTGTTTTACACTACATGGCCGTAAGTATGTGGACACCACCATCATGTCTGTATGTTTGGAACAGCGCCGGGGTCACGACGGGAGCGTGAACATATTGTCTAAAATGTTGAATTTAAGTTAAGTGAACTCACTGCTTTCACACTGACAACTATATCAAGAGTTTCATCGCCAAACTGGCATTGAATAGGAAGATAGTTTGTTTAAATTGACGGTGATATCTGTGGAAATTTGAGGAGGAGGAACAGACAGTTAAACGGCAGACGGTCTGCAGAAGTTTGGTTTTTGTGGTCAGTTTAGCCTCCTGGTCCCTCCTGTTTTTGGTCCTGGTTCTGGATTCTCTGTTGCTGAAGGTGAAAACTCTGCTTGTTTGTGTTTTTGTTGGGAAACTGCTTTTATACTAGTTTATTTAAAGCAGTTAAATGTTTCCTTTTCCTGCTCAGCAGTGCCACCATCACTGAAAGAGGTCTCTCCCTCCGTTTCTCTGTAAGCCACGATCATTCATCGCTCATAAACGTTCTCCATCTTTTCTCTTATTGCTCTGACCTCTGACCCTGAACAACCGGGCTTGAAGCAGAGATGAAACTGTTAGCTTAGCTCAACCAAATGAGCCCAAGTCAGTCTGATTTACATGCTGGATCTTGTTAGCTAACCAGCTAGTCAGCAGTCCATCCTGTAGCCAGATGGGGTTTAGTTTAGTTAGAACAGAGTTAAAATCTACAATCCAACAATGAGGCGACCGTATTCACAAAACATCCTCAGGCTAAACGTAGCTCCTAACTTTTACCAAACACAGATTTAATCCTGGCTTTCCTCGCGGCGGTTTTATCGCTGGACTAATGTTCAAACACAACTCGCCAAAAAACATTTATTTGTTAATCGGCTCACCAATAAATCAACAAAACACCCGAGATGACAGTTTGCTCCATGGTACTTGGACACCAGCGCTGATGAATGCTTTATCTGTGGAACTGCAAACAACTCGGAGACGTCTGAACTCCTAAATAATGCTTTTTATCTATAAACATATTTTGTAATGTAAAATCTTGCAATATTAATAATAATAATAATAATAATAATAATCTTACAATATTATTAGGCTCTGATTGGCCGACGTGGCTTCACGGTTAGCGTCATATCGCTGCCTGATGGTTTGGCGTGCTCTTGGCAGCGCTTGATAGCGTGTTTTTGCGTTTTCATGTAGACAGAGGAGGAAAAACTCTTTATAAAATGCACTAGGGGTGGGAATCACCAGAGGCCCTACGATACGATATTATCATGATACACAATATTATTGTGATTTTAAACGTATTGAAACTTAATACGCCTTTTTCCAACTTCAAATTGTGTCCCCAAAGGAAAACTCTTTTTCTAGTGGACTGAAAAGGCAACTGATTTCATTATTATAGAACAAAAAACGAAACTTTTCATGTACAATTTGTACAATAAAAGATCGATACTTGACGTTTGTGTATCGATACAATATTGCCACGGAAGATATCGCGATACTATGCTGTATCTATTTTTTCCCCCACCACGTGTGGACTAGGCCTTAATCTGAAAAGTATAGCTGTCAAAATAATGTAGTGTAGTAGTACATGAGTAATGTTACTTTCCACCACTGCATTCCCTGTAGCCCAGCCATCATATCACGACCCTGAGCTCTTTATTAATCTCCTTACCAACATCTTATTATTATAGAAGAGTTAGAAATGATAATATACCAGGAGAATGATCTTTTTGACCCCTGCTCTTTAGCTGCAAATATTGTTCAAAAAGGATTAAATTACCAGATTTAATTCTTCTTTCAGTACTCAAATGACTTCAATAAATTCCCTCTGTGAAACTTGCTGATAAGGTGTTTGTCAACATTTGTCTCTAGCAGATTTTAGAGTTCCATGCATATATACAAGAATAAACATGCTGATTGGTGGAGCTTTAGAGATAATTTTAATAGCTAAAACAAAGTGTTAAAGATGTCAGTACGTTTAAAGTGGCGTTAAAGGTGTCAAGTGTGTGACAGACAAACAGCGGAGAGCAAACAGGTGACTACCAGTCTGTCAACACACACACAGTGTACTAAATGAGTCACATCTGCCCCGGGCTGTGTGTGTGGTACCATCATATGACTGGGAGAGTAAACAGGGCAGAGGCAGCACGGGGGAACGGTGAGGGTGACGTCATGCAGGAAGTGGACATAGTGAAATGAAAGCACACACACACACACTGGTAACTGTACGCAGCCTGTCACACGATAGTTTGTTTAGTGTTCAGCTGGTTCAACCACAAGTGTCTTTCAAGCCTTTTTGATGTGACTGTCACTGTGTGCGTCCACATTGTGAGCCGTGTGGTTGGTCAGTCGTTCCGCCACCAGTTTAGACAGAAATATCTCAACAATGTAGGGTCCTAAATTATTTAACAATACTATACAAGCCTTAAAGAGGCAACAAAACGTATAGACAGTCCCTGCAGGATTGAGCTGAAGAAGTCTCTGTTATTGCCGGTACAACTACAATATGAAAAGCCTACATATAAAGTTAGCATCGGCATAATATCAGTCACAACTGTCATATTTAGGCAGAATATGATAAAGTTTTGTGAGTTTCCCACTGTGAAAGTCAGACGAACACATTTGGAAACATGTTAGTTCAAAACACGTTGGTACAAACTAAGTTAATTCAAACCACGGTGGCATTTAATTTCATTTTTTTGACACTTTTATCCAAAGGGACTTACAATTGCTATACAAGTTTTGGGAAACGGTCGTACTTCAGATGTTGGTTAGTTTAACGATGCATCGTACCAGGATTGTTCAATGCTACCTTCTGTCGCTGTACGGGAAACGGACCTTCACAGACACCCTCCGGGAATCGCAGCTATTAATACAAATTCAACAAACCCCAACTTGCAGTTTTGATGTGACCAAATGTGACCTATCATCGCCGTGTTGAAGAAGATTTAAAACTAGAGACTGAGACCATAGACTCGATAGGAAAGTGTTTACCGAGGTAATAAATCTTCTATACAATCACACTTCTTTCTGCTTGGCCCCGTCCCATGTAACGAACCCTTTGTTCTAATGTGAACCTGAGGTGTTTGCTGAACTACCTGGGGTTAGTTGTTCTGTTAAAGTACACACCAAGCAGGAACCTCCAGGTCTGAAAAAGAGCCTCACACCTGCGTTCTCTCTAGCAGCCAGCAGGGGGCGACTCCACCGGCTGCAGAAAGAAGTGTGATTGTATAGAAGTCTATGAGAAAATGTTTCTACTTGTCAGCTGATTTATTCCCTCAGTAAACACTTTCCTGATGAGTTTATGGTCTCAGTCGCTAGTTTCAAGTCTTCTTCAACACAGCGTGATGTTCATTTAGTAAATTATGGTCCCATTTAGAGGAACAGAGACCAGGAAGCAGGGGAGGCTTTAGGGCGGGGCTACAAGCAGGACAGAGGATAGAGGCACTGTGTACATTTAACCAGTGCCGCTGAATAAGCTGCTTTGTAGTTGGCCGTTAATTTTCTCCGTTAAGTACGTTTTATTTTAAGCCAGTCTGTCGCTAGCCAAAATTAGCATCCAAGTATCAAAAATGCCAGACTCTAGGCTTAAAAACGTTAGTCCACAAACCAGCGGGTGACGTCACGGTGGCTATGTTCACTTCTTTATTAATACCGGCTATGTGAGGGGCGCTGGCCGAGTCAGCAACAGTGGCACTACTACTTTTACTTATAGGATCAGAGTACTTGAACCACCTCTGACTGCAAAGCTAGTTTCTGTGTGATGACTTCCTGAACAGCATCAAAAGTACTGGTGGTAATATCATCATCATCGTCAGGGTCGCTTATGGTTTGAAACAGTCAGTGAAGATCCTGCAGGAGTAGACTGGTTCAAACAGGACGCCCCCCCCCCCCCTAGTTAACACACCATCAGTAATGAGCAGGAAGCTGCAGCAGGTCAGCACAGTCCCCCTCGTGTCTGTTCTGGGCTGCAGACTCTTTGTATTCAAATCACAGCAGCTTTTTGTCTGCGAGATGAATGAGGGACGAGTCTTCGCTCGCACTTCACTGAGCTCTTTGTCCGTCATCACAGACACTAAATCACAGCCGGCGGGGCCGAGAGGGACAGTAACCATCAAACACGCCAGCGTGAGAAGATGGAAGTCACTCATTGTTGTGTCCGTTATACAACCTCAGCTTCACGCTGTCACGTTTTAGTAAACTACACTGAGACTGTCATCAGCTGAACCAACATAACATTATTAGTGAAGGTAAAGAGTGCATGTGCAGGATAACAAGGAACACTTGTTTGGTTGGGAATTCATGCTCATATATATTGTAAAACTCACAAAACAGACTGAAATATAATGTTTGATGTAGTTGTTTGCGTAGTAGGATGGACTATCAGGGGGAAAAACTG